GGAGGATTTCGCTTTCTTCGACCGTCTTGGCGATAATGTCCATCATAAGTGTCGATTCTGCACGTGCCAATCACTATGATATGGTTGGTTGTAGTTCGGCTAGTCTAGCCAGGTCGAAAACTAGCTCGGAAACGAGCTACGTAGAGGAATGTCCAAAAGGCGTATCGTGCTACATCATCGACTGGAGGTTGAAGGCTATGTTCTGTGTTGTCGGTTGTGTAGCCCTTCTTGGTTGGAACTTCATCCTGGGTGAGTTGGGTACTCTTATTGATGCCTTTGGAGACGCCTATGGGACGTGGTGTTCTCTCTGTTTCTCCCTCTGTATCAATGCCGGTCAGCTGATGCTTGTGTGGATCGGCAATCGGTTTAAGTTCGGTCCTCGTTTCTATTCGGGCTGTATTGGTATGGGTATCAGCATGATATTGCTGGCTATATGTGCCATCACATTTGCCCAGGATAACCAATCTGCAGGGCTTGCCGCGGGCTGTATATTTGTTGGTCTCTACGGCTTCGCCAACGCTGTGATGGAGTCCACCATGTTTGGCTTGGCTGCTCTCGTTGGTCCAGTGTCGACTCAGTTCATCCTCATCGGCGAAGGCGTATCCGGGCTTGTCGCGTGGCCCCTTGATAGACTCTGTGAGGCGATTTTCCGTGGCAGTGGTGTGACGGATTACGCCTACCCTCGTATGATACTGTTTTTCGGTATCGGCATGATTGTTAACTTCGCCAGTGTTCCCATGTATAAGTATTCCATGCAACATCATCCTGTGATCGTGAAGGCTCTCGAAATTGAAGAGGGCCGACAGGAATTTATTCTCAAGAAAAAATCGACCCGACCATTATCCAAAATTCTACGTGACGTAGCGCCGCAAGCTCTCACCGTTTGGTTCAGCTTTACTATTTCGTACACTGTTTTTCCGTGGACGGTTTTTGAGATGAGTCCGTCCTCACTGTCGCCCGTTACATTTGGTAAACTTATGACTTACTGCTATCAAGTATGTGATACGATCGGCCGAGCCTCTCCTTTCTATCACCTTCGTCTGGGGAAAAGATATACGCCTTATGCTGCTACTGCTCGTCTCATATTCATTCCCCTGTTTTTCCTTTGTATTCACCTGTCTTGCTCACCCTTCACTCAAGACTGGTTTCATTTCGTCATCATGGCTCTATTAGGGTTGACCAACGGAATTCTTGCGGCTTCTTGCATGATTTATGGTCCGACCCAAGTCGACCAGAATAAGAAAGAGGAACTTGAGATTGCTGGTTATGTGATGTCATTTGGTCTGATCTGTGGTATTCTAACTGGTTCCGTTATAGCTACGATCATTAAGCGCTCGGCTTACATGTGATTATGAACGTCAGATTGAAGACCTCGAAAGAAGCCGTCCTGATGCTGTTGTCAGAAGTTCCTCGTTGTCGAGGTTGAACTTCTTGTGCAAGTTGCTCGTTTGAGCCGATCTGAAATATTTCGTCCCTGTTTTCTTGTTCGATACTTACCGCCTGTTCTATAGACTGATTTTAAATTTGAGAAGCGTTTCTAGAAACGATTCTGGGAATTTTGTTCATAGAGTCAGATCTGGACACGATCTCAGAAACGTCTCCAGAAGTAGTTCTCAGCGCGTTCAAAGAATCTTTTGCGCGATTCTGTGAGCGTTTCTAGAATTGCAAATTCCAGAACCACTCCGAGTGCTTCTGAAAGAGAAACGTGTTCTTTCGTGGCGCGTGACAGAGGCTTCATAGAGAAGAGAAACGTGTGGAGTCCAGAAGAAACAGCTCTTCTTGAGAAACTGGTTATGAGCGGCGATACAACAAGAAAAGAGATCATACACAGCAGGGATATGACGGACCTGAGACACCTGAGATTTAGAGAACCTGAGACTCAGGTTCGAATCTTCGTCGAGGTATATTTCGGAATTCAATTTTCTGTCAAATTCTGCAAGTAGAATTTGAAAGTGCGTTGTTGGTGGCCTCAGGTTCCATCCCCGGGAACCCCATTTCTCACGTATTTTATTTGTCCATCCTGGAATCCTTGCTGTGATGGTAACGGATTCTGATCATGGAGGGTTGAGGGAGGGACCACCTGAGCAGTCAATGTCTTGGGGGGAGTTAAGCGATACCACGATACATCATCTGAGCGACGATGAAAGCGGCGATCAACACAACGGTCTGAGCATCTCTTAAGGTGTTGCGTCCGATCAGTTTAATTCATCGATCGTGTGTGCTTGTGTGGAGTAGAGGGTACCATCGCATCTCTGTAATCCGGTGTTTTCGCTCATCTGTAGTTCCTCCGACGTCCCCTCTCGTGGCCACCTTGTCCATGCCCTCTTCGACCTCTTCTCATGAATTGTCTCAAGTTGGAACCGATGCGGCCACGATTGAGTCATTGGAAGAAGCGATTCCGCCCGAGTCACCGAAAACCCCGACCGGAGAGGTCGTCGATTGGAAGCTGAAGGCCATGTTCTGTTTCATCGGTTGTGTCGCTCTCGTCGGTTGGAACTTCATCCTGGGCGAGTTGGGTACCCTTATCGACGCCTTTGGAGCCGCATATGGGACGTGGATGTCTCTTTGTTATTCCCTCTGTGTCAATGCCGGTCAGTTGATGCTCGTATGGGTTGGCAATCGGTTCAAGTTCGGTCCTCGTTTCTATACAGGCTGCATTGGTATGGGTATCAGCATGATCCTGCTGGCCATATGTGCGATCACTTTTGCTCAGAACAATCAATGGGCCGGCTTTGCTGCCGGTTGTGTCCTCATCGGAATCTTTGGGTTTGCCAACTCCTTGATGCAGTCATCGATGTTCGGGCTAGCTGCTCTCGTCGATCCTGTCTGTACTGAATTCGTTCTTATTGGCGAAGGTCTTTCGGGTCTCATCGCATGGCCCCTTGATAGGCTCTGCCAGGCCATCTTGGAGGGCTGTGGTGTCACCGACTACCTCTACCCACGAATGGTCTTGTTCTATGGCCTTGGCATGCTCGCGAATTTCGCCACCATTCCAGTGTACAAGTATGTTATGCAGCGTCATCCTCTTATGCGTGTTGTCCTCGAGCTTGAGGAAAGCCGTCAAAAGTTCGTATTGAAAAGACAGATGAAACGCCCTCTCGGCCAAGTCGTTTGGGATACCATCCCCCAGGCCTTCAATGTGTGGCTCAGCTTCACAACTACGTTCACTGTTTTCCCCTGGCTCGTATTCGATATGAAACCATCTGACCTGTCGGCTGCTCTCTTCGGCCAGTTGATGACCTACTGCTATCAGGTCTTCGATACAGTCGGTCGTTCCTCGCCTAGTTATCATCTTCGCTTGAGCAAGAGGGCTACACGATTCGCATCCTTTGGCCGTTTGATTTTCATCGCCTTGTTCTTCCTATGTGCCGAGATAGATGTTTCGCCTCTGAACCAAGACTGGTTCCGCTTCATCGTTATGGCATTGTTTGCCGGCTCCAACGGCGTTGTGGCCTCATGGTGTATGATCCACGGTCCAACACAAGTTGATCAAGAGCAGATGGAGGAGTTGGAGATTGCCGGTTACGTGATGGCTTTCGGTCTCATTTGCGGCATTCTTAGTGGCTCAGTTATCGCTACTGTCATTCAGCAAACAGCCTATATGTGAGGCGTATCGGTTTGTCTTGCTATGAACTATCTGTCGTTCCTTACTTTCACCGTCTTATATCTCTTGCTAAATCTTTCAATCCGAACGTAATCTATGATCGAAAACGCCTTGTCTAGTAAAGTCGTTCATGTGTCCTTTGCCTGTCTGCAGGCGTCGGATTGTAATATGTTTTGGCTTCGAGAAAATACAGCAATCGGAAAACGCTCTACGTCATATGTCCCTACCTTTCCTCATCGCACTATTATTACGGAATGTTCCTCTGGAAGTGGGGGGAATCTGCGTTGCTAGTTGTTGGGAAACGTGGAGAGCAGGTCGTTGATAACACCCTGTTATAGTTTCGGCGAGGCAGCTCATGCAAAGCCTGCTCAATCGTCTGCCCAGTCAACTACGGAGAATTATGTAACATTATTAATGTTCATGACTTTTAAGCGTCACACATCCTCGTGATCTGGATCGATGAAGTACTTGATACTCAATTTCCTAGAATATAAGTACGTAATGGTCAGTATTATACACGCCGCTTGAATCGGCACAGCGGGAGTTTTGGGTTGGTGCACACTTTCGAGTGTCCCAGAAGGCTTCCACGATTCTACCCCTTCTACCTCCTTACTCGTGTTATATACAGGGTATTTGAAGGAAATTTGCTCTCTTGAATAACATCCACAGTAATTGAGTAAGCAAATGGTCAAAAAGTACGAATTTCATGCGCTTGAATGTTGAGCAATTCACATTAACGCTGTCCTATTGTCAACTCGACTATATCGAAACGCTTTAGAGCTGTTACGTCCTAATACATGTGTTCGAGAACCAATGCTTCCCCATAAACGCCTCGAAGCTCACCGAGACTCCTTGGAAGGCTATCCGGTCGGAGCGACTAGAAAGATTTTAGCTCAGAGTGCGAAGAAGCAGGTCAGTGAGTCTAGTTTCATAGACCCCACACGTACAGCGAATACAAAGTGAGCAGGAAAAGTATTCGAGTTACTGGCCGAGGCAACTCGCGCACGATGGAAGATACCAGAATCTTCCCGTTTCGCTCTAATCGATCTTGGCTTCAGGCACGGCACTCATAGCATCCATGCTCCAGCGGCTTGAGTATGTAGTTGGATCGACGATGAGGCTAGGTATGAAATGCGCGATATCGTGGAGTGATTCAGCTTGAGATCTTCATGCTACGTAGGTATCACGTGGTAAGACGATTCTTGTGATAGCGTTCCACACGATTCAAGTCCCTATGTATACCCTTCTTATCGTCAGCGTTCTCCCTCCGGCAGTGTTAGGTACTCTACGCCGCCTCCAACTCAGCACTACTACATCGGTTCCCGCCACTACCACTCCGACAATCACGGTCGACACTGCTACTCTGCAGAACACTTGTGATATCTACTGCCAGGACTCAATGGAGGCGCTTCCTACTGTAAACTGGACATGAGTCCATCCACTTGCC